TGTGGTAGCACTGAAAAGGGCCATTTTTGCATTCTCAAACATGCAAAAAAGGAACCTCTTCCATAGACCGTCATAATAATAATATACGATAATTTTTATTTATAATATATATTTTTTATAATTCTAATAATCTTTTGCGTAAGATTTCAACTCTCTTTTACAGGCATTAAATTTTGCCTCTGAGTTTTGCGCAGTGTGAAAAAAATTTCTTTTTTTTTATATTTTTCACTTTCAAGGTTGTAATTTTTTCCAGCCAATCTGGACTCAAAACCGGCTCTGAAGAATTATCTATCAAACAAAAAAAAATTCATCGAATGAAAAATGTGGAAACGCTTAAACAACATCCGATCACACACACACACACACACACACACACACACACACACACACACACACACACATTTTGAGAATTATAGATATAGATTATTAGGTGCCTAATAGAAGCGGGAAACGTTTATTTAACAATTTTTTTTTCCCAAAGTTCAAACAGGACTCGGTCATTATTGTAGTTACTTCTAGTTTTTATTTGGGCACATTTATGACGGCATTGTTTTTAAAAATAGTGTTCCGTCGATCTTTCTTTTTTATTATTTCCAGAATAACCACGTTCCATTCTTTTGATAAATTTAATACTTATTCTTTCCAGAATAACCACTTTCTATTCTTTGATAAATTTAGTATTTTTAGAAGAAAAAAATGTTTCTTTAAGTTTTACATTTTGGATCATTTAAATAAATGCATACCAGAAAAAATTCTTACCACTTGTATTGGACACGTAAGAGGAACTTCATTCAAAACGATCGCTTTTGCATGCATTACTGACATAACAGATAGAATTGGTCTCATTGATGTTTTTTTTTTCTTTTAACGTTGAATTTAAGCAACATTTTCGATATAGAAACCTTTTTACAAGGCTACGAAATTTTAATAGTGTAATAAAAACAGGCATATTAAAAATCAATTTCTAATAACAACAAAAAAAGTAACATTTCATGATAAAAAGGATAGCAAAAGATACATATTACTGAAAATTGATAATAAATAAAATATCAAAATAAAATGATTAAAAATAGCTAAACTGGTTTATCGGTTCTCTCATATCAAAGAAAAAACCCGAGGACAAAAAAATATGTGCACAGCGCCTAAAAAATATATAATCCCAGACTAATGTTATAAGCAAACAACTAATATAAGATTAAAAGGTAATTTAAGCCCATCAACGATTTCTTTTGCTTAAAGAGAAATAGTTGGTAGGCCATAATGTATAGTGACTCCAAAACCTTCAAGTGATACTCGGTATTAGCCTTGATCATCACTGATGTCCGAACTATAAGACCAGGCACATTCCTGGCTTTTAATTAAACTTTCTTTTTTATCCAATAACAGACAATATTTGAAATATTGTAGAAAAAAAAATAGTTCATTCACGCCGTTTAATTCAAAGTGTCTGTTGGTTAGAAATTAACATCACATGAAATATTTGGCCAATCAAAGAAAACTAAAACCCTATTTTTTTTTTTTTTTTTTTTTTTTTTTTTTTTACGAGCCTATTTTCGGGGAATAATTCTTATTTAAACCTTAGATTTAAATTTTCAAAGAACAGAGTTGTGACTGTCTCCTCATTGTAGCTAGAGAACTTCTTCCCTCTCCCCTTGCGCGTACTGGAAGAAACGCCATGGACGACCAGTCGGTGACTTCAAATGAATCATCTCCAAAGACGGTCAGTGAATCTTCGCTAACTATAACTCTTTTTATAAATCACAGCTTTATACATATATATATATACACACTGTGAACTAAATATTTAAATCTTTTCTAAATTACACGTTTTTCTGTGTACCAACTACCTAAAGACCGCCTCATGTACATGAATTCAAAAATGAGTAAAAATAGTCTTTAGATGCGTTAGTCTTTAGGTAGTTGGTACACAGAAAAACATGTGTAGTTTAGAAAAGATTTAAATGGATGAAAAAAAAGAAATACCCATTTATGGGATCATATACTGGTGTGAACATAGCAGGTATAGAATTTCCTATTAGAGAGGTATGAAATTCTCTGGGGGTTGTTTGATGACATATATATGCTATGATTGCACCTCTTACTAGAACGAAAGCTAGATTGAGTCGTTAGGACTTGCATAGAACGGTAGAGCCTAGTTAATACAATGTTCATTAGTACTCATCATAATGAGTCCAATCGAGATAACTCTGTGTGTCGATCTTGAGGTGAACATCAAGGTGATGAATGTAAAAGGTTCTTTTTTTATGTTTTATTTATTGATTCCTTTTATTTATTTAATTAAATATTCAGAACATAACTGACTTCAGAGTCTGTCTATATTTCTGAGATGAGGTATTATGTACATTATTTACATTATTCGGACTATTGTCCTCATCTTTCTTGCCATATTTATCACAACGTTCCGGAGATAACTGATAACATGGCACGTGGAACTAGAACAGTCTACCCCGGTGAGCGAAATAAAAGGTTCAATTCGACATTCCAACCACCTGAAGAAGGCCGGAGCGTACAACGGCCGAAACGTTGTGATAAATATGGCGACAAAGATGCGGACAATAGTCCGAATAATTTAAATAATGTACATAACTGACTTGTTGACTTTTTTTTAATCATGCAATTCCGTATAGCGTACTTCTTGTAACATACAAGAAATTCTACATTACTAGAATTTTTTTTGCAGAGGCTGACACGTGTGGAAATCCTCACGGGTATTTAGTATTATTGAAGTTATTGCTAATATTTTTGCCGAGATTTACAAACTCTACGTTTCATTCAATTTTGAAAACCAATCGATGAAATTTGAATAAACTGATTTGTTTGGAAAAATAATTTGACAAAAAGCCTACTTGGTCCTTTTATTATATTTTTTTTTTTTTTTTGTTTCGATCGGTCAAGGTATGGCTACTTTAGAGGGTGTAATGGACGGACAGACGGACTAACAGAATTTGCACAATTTTATACATAGATAGATTCAAGGCCTGATATTATTGTAAGTTGTCACAATTTTTGGCGATGGAGTAGAAATATTAGCTAAACTGTTACAATATCTAATTTGTTCAAGCGAATATTGATTTTTAGGCAAATATATTTTCAGAGATGCTTTCATGTTTTATTAAAATTCTTTGAAAATTAGGGAACTTGTAGGATTTATTTTTTTTTTTTTTTTTTTTTTTTTTGGCGCGTGTACTTTCATTAAAATATGAAATTACAATGTAATGAGGAAAACATTTAACATCATAGATATTCCTACGCGAAGATAAATTCTAAGCACGCTGTTCAATTCTGCACAAAAATAAGACTTTTTTTTTTCTTTTTTTTTTTTTTTTTTTTTACAGTAATAGTATTTGCCATGGTAATGGCGATATTGGTCGTTTCCCTATAAGGAAACATTCAGCATTAACTGAGGTCACTGCTACTTTCGGTTGAAAGTCTATCTATTAAAATAATAGATTTGTCAATTCCACCAACTGTTTCCAATCTTTCTTGTATAGATGAGAGCTTCCTTCCAAGCATTTTGTTCAGGACCTGTGGGATGTCAACATCTTGATTATGACATTATTTTCTCTTTGGGTTACATGTGCTATCCATGTTAGTTGTTGCTGCTGTTGGTACTCCTCAAGTGAAGTGGTTTCTGTTATTTGGTACTGTTGTTTATTTGAAAACGTGCGGAACGTTATATCTTGATTATGACATTATTTTCTCCTTGACTTACATGTGCTATCCATTTTAGTTGTTGCTCCTGTTGGTCGTCCTCAAGTGAAGTTGTTTCTGTTATTTGGTACAGTTATTTGTTTGTGATTGTGTAGCGCCAGTTCCTGAGTTTCGAAGAAGAATGCTCCTCGCTGATACGTACAGGATTCATTCGCTCGAAACTATTTTTACACATTGATCTGAAAAAAACGCTTATATGCAGCTGACAGTTTAAATATTTCTGAACTAGCTGGAAACCAGTCATGGCATAACGCAGTCTAGATCTGACGGGTCTATTTAAAGACATGACTCGAGATTTTAAGCTAATGGTTTGGTTTTTGTAGGAAATTGCAGCGTTGGCGAAGCATATTCTATATTCAATTTCCTTTCCTCCTATACTAAATTTGCTATAAGTCATCTATACATTCAGGTATTTGTAGTGTTTAGTATTTATTAATTCATCATATGTTTTATTATTGATTCGGTGTAGTCCTCATCATTGCTTTTATTCCAGTTCCAGATCATAGCTTCTACTTTGAAAATATTTATCTAGAATCCTATTTCTTAGAGATTGTTTTTTGTTCAGCATCATTATTGTCCCAAATAAGAAAATATGTATATCATCGTCATAACCCCATACATCATCAGTACACTGGCCCTGAGAGGAAAATCAGGAATTCTTTTTTTTATTAATAGATTCATTTGGGATGAGGTACAGAATGTTTAAATGATCCGTGCCCATCACTTCATATCTGTGCTTGTATATGCGCTGGATATAGTGTAGGAAATGAGCAAATAGATTTAAACTCTCATTTCCTTCGCGTCATACTCCTGATGAGGTTTGAAATGGTTCCATATTGAGGTCCTCTCCAAACATGTAAGATTTTGCGGACCGATATAGTTCCTCTGCCAGATCTAAACTCAACTGAGTTATAGCGTGGAAGCGGTTTCTAATGGATGAAAAAAAGAAATCTATTTATGGGAATATAGCAGGTATAGAATTTCCTATTAGAGAGGTATGGAATTCTCTGGGGGTTGTTTGATGACATATATATGCTATGATTGCACCACTTACTAGAACGAAAGCCAGATTGAGTCGTTAGGGGTTGCATAGAACGGTGAGTCTAGTTAATACAATGTTCATTAGTACTCACCATAATGAGTCCAATCGAGATAACACTGTGTTGATCTTGAGGTGAACATCAAGGTGATGAATGTAAAAGGTTTTTATGTTTTATTTATTGATTCCTTTTATTTATTTAATTAAATATTTACAATGAAACAGCTTACAGCCACATCACATTGAAACACCTGTTCCCGCACGATCACCGAAGTTAAGCAACATCGAGCCTGATCAGTACCTAGATGGCTGAACGCTTGGGAGTACCAAGTGATGTAAACTTGAATGTGCAGGTGGTGTAATGGATAATGTCTTGGAATTGTTAATCGGAGAGTCGAGTTCTAATTCCCGTTGGGTTCGTTATATTCACTTACGCGCAAATACCCTTGGAAAAGGCATGAATCCACCTCTTCTCCTCCCAGTTATGTAGCCACCGCTTCTCTACTCGGCCATAGGTTAATTAGTAAGACTTGTTTCACTAAATCATTATTATCTCTAAAAAAAAAAAATATATATCTTAAAGTCTAAAAAATATTTTCTGGCTTTAAATAACATGCAAGAGGTTGACAAACCGTAAAAACGAATCAATTAACCAATCAATACAATGAAATAGAGAGAAAGGGTGTCAGTCGCGTTCACTTTCAAGCAAATATTCTTGAGAAAAATATAAATCTGTCTCTTCTATCCGCAGTTATAAATTAAATAGCAGATCGGACTGGACTTTCCATCCTTAGTTGGCAACCAGTCTAGGAGAATGAAAACTCCGAATTCAAAACCAGTTGGGCGGGGGTCTTGCAACTTCACTCCATAAAAACCTACTTGTTATAGAAACCACAGCAGTATGATACGGCTGTTACCCTAAACTCCACGGCGGATTCTAATGGCACACCATAGAGGAGGAGGAAAAAGAGTTTCGTTTTCTCCTGAATTCATACTTGATATAGGTAAATCGTGAGAAATAAACTGGTTTCACGCAAATAAGTGATATTTATTGCTGATCGAGAAATAATAAAAACCTTCTACTTATATGGTGTCCATAAAATTCGTGTGCACTTTAAAAAATTTAAAACTTTATTTCTATCGCAAATACAAATAATCATCTGTAAAAATGTTATAAAGTTTAATGTACCTAGTTTTAAATATAGCTAAAATCATTAATGTTATTTCACGCATTACTGTAAATCAGTTGGCAAATGTTTTCCGTGAACTGCAAAATCGTATTACCCTTTGTATTGCTAATGATGGAGGACATGTGGAAACTTAAATAAAATTTCCATAAAACCTTAAAAAATATAGATTTGCTTCTTTCTAATCTTTTTACAAATTATTTCTATCGCAAATACAAATAAAGTTATAATTTTTTAAAGTGCACACGAACTTTACGGACACCCTGTGTGTGTGTGTGTGTATATATATATATATATATATATACCCAAAACATAATATACACACACCCACCCTATATATATATATATATATATATATATATATATATATATATATAACATACACATGTGCACGTGTTTGTGTACGTCAATAAGCTATGCATATGCACGTGTTAATTTACATACACACATGTATAAGAAATAGAAGTTCTAAATACAGCCAGAGTCTTTAAGAATATTTAGAGTAACTTTAGAAGTTTCGCTGTTGAGATGAGTAGCTATGCCGGGATCTGTTTCGCATCTGACTGAAGTTGGAGAATTCTTTCCGTTTTATGCAGAAAAAAAAGGTGTCTCAGATGGCTATCTGCAATCTGATTAGTTGCTTATGATCACGTGATCAGTCAGTCATTGTTGCGCCAGGAACTGATAAGATTTTGCTCTCAAAAGTTTGGAGTATCATTATTCAGTGAATGTTGCTAATGACAGCAAAGAAGTTCATGACAAGAAGCTGTTAAGTTGTTCATAGCAATAAAGTGTTAATATCCGGAAGAGACACTTGAAATTTTTGGGGCAAATAATGACGAAAGAGCGCTTGGAAAAATTTATACAGTACACATTGTAGGTGACAGAGGAAAGTAACACATAATCTACCTAGCGAGCTTGAGAGAATGGATGCAGGAATAGTGTTTGGGAGAGAGATACAAAGGACAAGAAATTATGGAAGCCATGATCACCAAAGTCCTGAAGGAACATAATAGAAGAAGTAAAAGTCTATCAGTTTTCGTATTCGAGAAAACAGTGTAGGAAATATACCCTCGAGTCCGCGCCTCCCTTCCTAAGACGAACAACTGTCTGATCCGATGTACTTTTTAGTATTTGAAACGTAAACAAGAAACCCAAGCTGATAAAAAAAAAAAAAAACCAACGGGAGATGTGCTGTCCTTAAATAGGTAATTCGAACCTTACATACGCCTTGGCTAAGAAAAAAAAAAGTTTTACTGATGAAAATGTGATGCAGGTTTGATTCCTGTTAAAGGCCCAATTTTTCTTTAGTAGGACTTTTCAATCACAAACGGTTGTTAATACTTTCACTGTTTAAGAACATTAAAAACAAGGATAGCAACTAAAACATGCGTACACACTCAGGGCCGGTGCATACTCCCCCCCCCCCGAACCACCTGACCGAGGGAGAAAGCCTGATTGAAAGCCCACGGTAGTGTTTTGTGACACATGCTATCTTATCAACATTTGCTTTTTCTACCTACGTTTAGATAGGACAATTAAAGGATTAAATTTTGGGGTCTTTTTTTTTTTTTTTTTTTTTTTTTCGTCCAAATCCATGATTTGTTTTGCTCATGCTACGTCTGGAAAAACACTAAATAAAATACACCAATTTTTTTATCCATAATGTTGAATGTAAAAAATTATTCACCTTTTTAACAAGAAAAATCTCAAGTTGATGTTAAAAATTACCGCAAAATATTGCTGATTTATTTCAGATAGAATGATTTATTATACATTGTGTTTATTTTCAATTTTTCTAATTGAATTGTTCACCTATATTGCATACGATCCATTATACATACATACATAATTAGGTTACAATAAAATATGTATTTTATATATGTAGTTTAATGGGGGCCCCTGTATTGTAGATTGTGTGTATCATAAATTCAGGGGAGTGGCAACAAAACCCTTACACCAACCCTGTACACACTAAAAAGAACGTTTTTAGTGATAAGAAATAACGTAGGATAAAAAGAAAATTCACCGGGCTGTAGCATTGGATATCTCGAAAGCCTTTGACAGGGTCTGGCATTCAAGTCTTCTCCACAAGCTGAAAAGTGACGGTATCTCCAGACACTTTTTTGAATTGATCCAGTCTTTCCTATCAAATCGTGAAATGAAAGTTATCTTGAACGGCCAGTCCTCTAGATCCTTTCGTGCTAACGCGGGTGTCCCCCAGGGCTCAATCTTTGCTGTTTTTAATCTTCATTATCGACCTTCCCGATGACATTAACTATCAATTTGGCATCTACGCTGACGAGACTACCATTTACTCCTGCCTCGATAGTATAATCAAAATGGAAGCCGATGCCCAAAAACAACTTCAAGTACGTCGTTAACTGGGTCAAAAAATGGCTTGTTAATTTTAACACCTCAAGAACTAAACTTCTCTCCATTAATCACCTCGCTGCCTTCCATCAGTATGGCTGATGCTAACCTCCAGGAAAGTGACTCGTTGCGCCTTCTCTGGCTCATGTTCTCTGCTGATTATGAAGGGGAAAGACTATATTGAATCCATTGCTAGGTCAGCTGCTAAAAAAGTGGGTTCAGTGTGTCGGGTGAGACAATTTTTCTCTCCAGAATCTATCTTAAATATCTATAAGCTTACCATTCGTCCTTGTTTAGAATATTGCAGCCACATATGATCCGGTGCCCCTGCTATTTACCTTGAATTCCTTGATAAGATCCAAAGAAGAATCAGCAATACTATTGGTCCTGATCTGGTGGCTTGGCTTCAATCTCTTTCCCACCACCGTAATGTTGTCTCTATGTCTATCAATACTTTTATGGTAATTCTTCGGGTGAGCTCTTTGCTATATTACAGAGAGTTTTTGTTTTTTAAATTTAAGTGCAGTTCTTGACTGACGTAGAGATCTCATCAATTTACAATTGAGCTGGCTAGATTCCTATGCTAACAGTTTCTTCTCTCTTACGTCTCGCTTGTGAAAATCCCTTCCAGCTCCATGCTTTCCAGCCAACTTTAACCTGAAAAAATTTAAATACAATGTCAATCGATATTTGCTTTCCTCTTGATTATTTTCTTCTCTTTCTGCTCGTAATTTTTCCGCACCCTTTTAACACCTTGTGTATAGTGGCATTACGCCCTTGCTTGGGCTGATATTATATATATATATATATATATTTAAAGATATTTTTGTAGGTACAAAATTTAATGATCGAAATAAAAGTATAAAATTTAATATTACAAGACATATTAAAAAGTATTAAATAATAAAAAAAAAAAAAAACAACTCAACAACAAGGGGGAGGGAAGCAACCGGTTTCGCTCCCGCTCGTCAGGCTTCCACGGGAGATTGAAAATTAAAACAGAGAAATGTACAGTAAGAATAGGTGGAAAAAAAAAAAAAAAAAAATTAAAACACACATATATACATATATATACATATCAATCTCCCGTGGAAGCCTGACGAGCGGGAGCGAAACCAATTGCCCCCCCTTGTTGTTGAGTTTTTTTGTTTTTTTTTATTATTTAATACTTTTTAATATGTCTTGTAATATTAAATTTTATACTTTTATTTCGATCATATATATATAAAGAAATATGTTGTAGTGGTTCCAACGAGAGAAAAGTATGTATATTAAAAAGAAGAGGGTGCCGCAAACGTTTTTTGGTTGTAATGTGGATTTATTGAGAAAAATATTATACTTTGTTTTACATAATTTCACGACACGTGTTTCTGGTCTGGTCTCGCAACCGTCTTCAGGTGAAAGTGGAGATTTTTACATATTATTAAAAATAATTAATTTTTCTTCATGTTCAATGTGGAATATTCTCGATATGAGACATTCTGTTTGTGTGTTGGCAATCCGAATTTTCTTTCTAGAATTGTCAATGAAGAGTTCTGCGTGAAGGGTCATAAAACAATTAAGGTTTGTCCAGCGAGTAGTTATCGGCATTTAATCTTTTAATGTTTTAGTGACCTCTATGTGCTCTTGGATCTGTTTCTATTTTGGCGTGTTCCTGTCAGCATGCGTGTATATATGCGTGCGTATATTTCCTTACTACGAGGAATTCGTAAACTTATTTGTACTTATACACGCATACACACACATACGCACATACACACTATCCCACCACAAGTAGTC